ACACCCAGGAGCCACCTCCACCAATAAGGAGGCCAACTGTGTGGACCAGCTGGAGAGGACGGTGTTTACATCTACTAGCCTCCAGTTTAGTGTATTGAATTGTCAATTGCTGTTGGCTAAGTATGATTTTCTGAATTATTAAACTTTTCTAGATTTCAGGGACAAATTGCCCCAGAGGGAGAGGGTTCACTTGCAGGCTCTCATTGATGATGACGAGCTGGTGGCAATAACTTCATTACAATCTGAGGTTGATGCAGCCTGCACCGTGTCAAGATCAATGGCTATTGCCATTGCCTGGGAATCATGGCTACACTCTAGGGTTTCTCAGGGAGGTCCAGAACACCATAGCAGATTTGTCCTTCTATAAGACCAGTCTTCTTCATGAAAAGACAGATGAAACTTGCACTTGCTAAAGGACTCCATGGCAACCCTCTGCTCCCTGTGTATATATCCATCAGAGAAAATACAATAAGCAATTACCATCAGCACTCGTATGAACCTCTTCGTAAAAGGCAGAGGCTGCAATGGCCAGGACACCCTTCAGTCACATTAACCCAACCTCCCGTGCCAGCCAAAAGCTACTTTTAACGAGATACTCAAAAGTTGTGAACCTCTGTTGGTGCCATCTCCACCCAATCCCCAGGTCTCCTTTGGTGGCTGCCTAGCACTCTTTCCCCACAGTTGAAGGTCGATAACAATGGACAAATGGTTGCTGGATATCATCCATTGAGCTATTCCATAGAGTTTCCCTATCCCCCCAAAAACCTCCTTCCCTGTCCCTTTCCAGGGACCATTCTCACCAGGAGATCCTCCTCCCAGGGGATAGAATGTCCCCTTAAGCAGGGAGCAATAGAGCAGGTATCTCTTCAGCATCAGGGAAAAGGGTTCTATTCAAAATATATCCTAGTTCCCAAAAAGACCCATTCTCAACTTGCAACACTGTGACATTTTTATTCACAAACTAAAATTCTTTGTGTGGTTACAGTGGCATCAATGACACCATCTCTGGAAAAGAACCCGTGGTTCACAGCTCTCAATGTGAAAGATGCATGCTTTCACATGGACATTCGCCCTTCCCACAGAAAATTCCTCAGGTTTATAGTGGGTCCCGACAACTGTCAAGACAGGGCATTTCCATTTGTTCTAGTAGCCGCTCGCAGGGTCTTCCCTCGACATGCGACGAGCACCAACATTTGCATTTTACCTGCCGGGAACGAAACCGATTAGAAAGTCACCTAAATTTTTCGTTGCCATAGCAGAACGGGTTTGAGGTCAAGCTGTATCCTCTCAGAGGATCTCTAAGTAGCTCTCCAGGTGTATCCTTAACTCTGTTACCGGATGGCACAGCTTCCTCCCCCACATGGAGTAAGGGCTCACTCTGCAAGATACAAGCGGCCTCAGTAGCATCACTTCAAGAGGTCCCCTGCTTGACATTTTCAGGGCAGCTAAGTGGAGCTCCTTCCACACATTCATGAGGCATTATGCCTTGGTTCAAGAGTCCTCCACTGATGCATCCTTTGGGCAGAAGTTCTACAAGCAGCTATACCACCTGCATCCTCGCACCCTCCTTCTCTCTAAGGACGGCTTGTCAGTCACCCACTGTGGAATACACATAAGGACCAGCACTCGAAGAAGAAAGGAACGTTGAAGTTACTTTCCGTGTTGTAACTGGAGTTCTTCAAGATGCATGGTCCCTTTCTGTATTTCACTACTTGCCCTGCTTCCCCTCTGCTTTGAATCGTGGCATGATTTGTGGTGGAGAAGGAACTGAAGAAGCGGTCAGTCTGCCTCATCCCTTATGCCCTCCGTGCAGAGCGCAAGGAGAGTAGGGACACAGGACCAACGGGCACTGCTTGCAAAAATTCTCCAGTCTTAGGCACATGAAGCACATGTGTACCCACAAGGGAATATAGAAAGGGACCATACATCTCGAAGAACTCCAGTTACAACAAAGTAAGTAACTTACCTCTTGAGGTCATGTTACTGTGAAATATCTTTGCACTGAAACTGAATTCTGGAAGAAACTGCATCTGGTGTTTCAAAGTGACCGCAAATAGATTTAGAAATCTTGGGTTAAATAATCTGCTGATGCAAACTGGCACAGCTCCGCTAAGGCTGTGGAGTGGTGCCAATGTACATGAGCAGAGAATTTGGCCCCTTTTAAAAATGAACTCTTATCTGGTATTTTCCATTCCCCATCTCCTGAGGAATGAAGGAGATGAGGAATGGAAAAGGCCCTTGCTCTCTATCTTGATTTATCATGTAATGTACTAGAAAATGTAAAAATATTTGTCATATGACAGTGATATATGATAAATCGTAGGTGGTTAAGTTATAAACTGGAGGTGGTGTAGCTGTTGATTGTCTGTGACCTATGATGTAGGTAGTACCCTTCTGCAAAAGTTTTCATTTGTCCATCGCATGGATAATTCCCAGAATAGGATTATATTGGGCGTAGTTGTGATGTACAGGCTGTCTCGATACTCCCTTGGTTTCCTGGCTGAATTGACCACGTTTTTATCCTGCCTTGCCCAGCAGCTTTGCCGTTATCTGCTTTGTGAGATAGTGGGTCTGTGTGGAAAATCCAGGCTGCTATCGGATTGAAACAGAGACGTGGGTAATTCTCTCTGAGAACAATCTGCAGATAAGATTGTTCAAATTTGGAGGAGGATGAATGCTTCCATGGGGGCTGATCTATGTCTGGAGGAGAGAAATGTCCCAGCTTCTCAAGTTGATTTTTTGGACAGTTTTTCTTGTTGAGAGCTAGAATTTTTGAGAGCACTCCATCCTACTGCTTGCCAATCAGACACATTCTTTCTTGTATTTAACTGGGAAGGAGGACTTATTATGTTAAGGGTAAGCAGGTTGCTGCTTCGTTGAAAATTTTTGGACCTGCTACTCAGGAAAGCACTTCTTGATGCTAATCTTCTTCAGCTATTACCCTGTCTGTAACATGTCCTTTGTGGACAAGGTGATGGAGAATAAAATAGCAAGACACCACCTGTGACTCCTGAACTTCCTTGGTCCTCTTCAGTAAGATCTGAGGTCTGCGTGTTGTATATAGGAGGCTGTTTGGGCTCTGTGGTTGATGATGCTCACATTAACTCTTGTGCACTATCTAATCTATTTATCATACCTATATGGCCCCATTACTGTACTATCAGAGTGGCTTAAAGTCCTTCGTATACTTATCCCCATACACCACTGTGAAGTAAGGAAGTATTATTATCCCCCTTTCATAGATGGGAAACTAATGCTGCACAGGAATGATGAAGTCAGAGTTTGGGTGGTGAATAAGCAACGACAGGCTCCAATTCAGCACAAGTCTGTGCCATTTTAAGGCGCTCCTATGAAGTGATTGGCCCTTGTGTGGCATTTCTTCCTGAGCCAAAGACTAGATAGGAGCAATTCATCTTGGCAAAAACCCCACAACGAAGGGGACTCATTGCCATGCCAGTAGACTATAGTCTGCAAGGGGCACCTTCCAAACACTTTGCATGGTAATGAGTTGAACTGAGGAGGAAGGAAGTTCAGTGGTTAAGGTGCTATCCTGGAACTAACTCAGGGTCAATTCCCTGCTCTGCCACAGACTTCCTGTGCAACCTTGGGCAAGTCATTTGACCACTTAGTTTCCCATCTGTGAAATGGGGATAATAATACTTCCTTACTTCACAATGGAGATAAGTACACTAATTGTACACTGAAGAATTGTGTTCTACTAATAGCGTACTACTAATAGTGTACTACTAATTGGACTAACTGTCCAAATTCTCATCATGTTTTTAAAGTAACATGGCTACTTTTCTCTTTACCAGTATCTGAATACTTCTAGGAAGTGTGAAAAAGCTATTTTGACCAGGAAGGATAGTATTGTGCTTATGGCACTGAACTGAGACTCAGGCACTGTGGGCCAGTCACTTAATCCCTTTGTGCCTCCGTTTGCCAAGCTGCAAACTGGGGGATAATTCTCCGTTTCTTCTATCCTTTTGTCTGTCGTGTCTATTTAGATTGTAAACTTTGTGGGGTAGAGACTGTCCGGTACTACGTATTTCTATGTGTCTATTGCCTCGGGATCCCAGCTGGGGCCTCTAGGAACTACTAGAGGGGGGAAGGATAGCTCAGTGGTTTGAACATTGGCCTGCTAAACCCAGGGTTGTGAGTTCAATACTTGAGGGGGCCACTTAGGGATCTGGGGCAAAAATCAGTACTTGGTCCTGCTAGTGAAGGCAGGGGGCTGGACTCAATGACCTTTCAGGGTCCCTTCCAGTTCTATGAGATAGGTATATCTCCATATATTATTACTGGCATATAAATAATAACAACAGTTTAGTTAGATTGTCCTCAGTTCTACCATGTGCTTTCTGTGTGACTTTGGGCTTAACACTTAACCTCTCAGAGCTTCAGTTTCCCTATCTGCAAGCTAGAGATAATACCTATCTCACCAGGGTGTCGTGAGCTTTAACTGACATCTGCAAAGCAGATTCTTGGATGGAAGATGCCATGTGCCTGCAGAGTATTATTATTCTCTATCTGTTAAATGTGCGTGGGGTCGTTGGTAGACAGACAGTACAAGCCATTTTATAATAAAGATTGTCTCTCCTGGATGTAAGAACCCATCATCTATTTGGGTCTAACTGCATGTGTCAGAGTTGGGTAATACGGCCTGTTGAATGGACACCGGGATGAATGGCAGCACTTTTCTATTGACAATTGAACAACGCTGTTTTCCATGATGTTTGTATTAAGATAAGACGTTTTTGTTTAAATTCATGCTTTTTTCTCATGTCATTGTCCAGTCTGCACAAAGGGTCCTTTGTGGGCATGTTTTTGGTAGCTTGTTACCATTGGATACAGGATTGAATGGTTACTTACTTACAAAGCTGCGGCTATGGGGCAGATAGTGTTTTCAACAGTGACGTGACAAAGTATAGCTACAGTTCTGACATGATCAATAAATGATCTAATTCCAAATTATGTTTATCTTTGTCTACAACATGCAGGTGTGATGGCTGGGTTTAATATGAGTGGAGATCTCCAGAAGCCTGCGGCCAGCATCCCACTCGGGTCTCTGGCAGCTATCGGCATTTCGTAAGTCGCTTGAAAGAGAGCGAGAAGAATTTACTTTCTGTTTAGAGTGTGCCCTGGATGTGACCAATCTATTTCATATTCCAGTCAACCTTTTATTACTCACCCATCTGGAAAATTAAAGTCTGGCTCTTGTTCAAATGATCATCTATTACCCCCTCCTACTCTGGATGCTTTTAGTGAAGAGATTCATTAATGCGGATATAATCAATTCTTCTCCGCCCCTCAGGCTCACTTCCTGATACAGAATATGTATTAACTCTAGAATTGTCAGATTGGACTACTCTGGAGTAGATTTCAAAGTTGTTGGATTTGGGTTTTTTTAAGAAAATAAAAATTACAAGCCTTCTAAAGAAACAGGCAGAGTCGTTTTCTTATATTAGCTGACATGTTGCAGCTAAATTTCTCAAGTACTTTTTTATGAAGAATGACTTAGGGTTTATCCTCACATGGCGGGATGGGAGGTGGATCGGGCTAGCATACCTAGGAAGTCAGGTGGGCTGGTCTAACTGTGTCCACACTGAAATATTTAGTGCGCTAGTTCGAGCCGAGCTAGCGCCTTTGTGTACTCGAGTTGGAAAGCACACTCCCAGTGCTGTGTAGACATACCAGCAGATAAAAGGAGCCCTTCTGGTGGTAAACCCATAGTGAATGTGACACTGTGTCCTTTGTATGTCGTTTCTCATCCTGATCAGTTTTTGCATGGTGATGTGAGAGGGTTTTTTTTTTTTTTAATGCAGTGTGTGTGATGGTAATATTTCCTCTCACTGCCATAAAGGGTACCGTTTTATCGGAGGGATGTTTAGAACATTTTGAAGGCTTGTAATTGCCTGTTACATGGTGTTGCGGATTAACCTTGCATGAAGTGCGGAAGGTCATTCCTGAAGCTTAAAAGAACACTGGAGTCGTTTGGGCCCCGGGCATTTTACAAATTATTCTGGGCAAGCTAAATTGTGGCTCTGCCACACGCAAGTGGCGGTGGGTTGCTTTTTTGTCCCTTGAGGGGACGGAGAGGCAGATTGTGTCACTGAGATTTGTTACCTGGCACAGCGTACCTCCTGAGGAGAACCAGTGCTGTTATTCTGACTGGTGCATTGTGGGGGACGGAGCCTAGGGTCCGTCATAGAATATTAGGGTTGGAAGAGACCTCAGGAGGTCATCTAGTCCAATCCCCTGCTCAAAGCAGGACCAACACCAACTAAATTATCCTAGCCAAGGCTTTGTCAAGCCAGGCCTTAAAAACCTCTAAGGATGGAGATTCCACCACCTCCCTAGGTAATCCATTCCAGTGCTTCACCACCCTCCTAGTGAAATAGTGTTTCCTAATATCCAACCTAGACCTCCCCCACTGCAACGTGAGACCGTTGCTTCTTGTTCTGTCATCTGCCACCACTGAGAAGAGCCTAGGTCCATCCTCTTTGGAACTCCCGCTTCAGGTAGTTGAAGGCTGCTATCAAATCCCCCCTCACCCTTCTCTTCTGCAGACTAAACCCAAGTTCCCTCAGCCTCTCCTCATAAGTCATGTGCCCCAGCCCCCTAATCATTTTTGTTGCCCTCCGCTAGACTCTCTCCAATTTGTCCACATCCCTTCTGTAGTGGGGGGACCAAAACTGGACGCAGTACTCCAGGTGTGGCCTCACCCCCAGTGCCGAATAGAGGGGAATAATCACTTCCCTCGATCTGCTGGCAGTGCTCCTATTAATACAGCCCATTATGCCATTGGCCTTCTTGGCAATGAGAGCACAATGCTGACTCATATCCAGCTTCTCATCCATGGTAATCCCCAGGTCCTTTTCTGCAGAACTGCTGCTTAGCCAGTCGGTCCCCAGCCTGCAGTGGTGCATGGGATTCTTCCTTCCTGACTTTGCACTTGTCCTTGTTGAACCTCATCAGATTTCTTTTGGCCCAATCCTCCCATCTGACCCTCAATTCCCTGCCCTGCCCAACAACTCCCACCTGCTTGTGCATGGTGGGATGTAGTGATTTGTGGAAGGCTACACCTCTGTCTGTGCTCCTTACCCTCAGATAGAGGCAGGAAGGACAAGGTAAAAGTGAGGCAATCACGTTTAATATAATATGCAGCAGACTTGGCATACCCACTTGCAGGCATTTAGGAAGAGGTGAGTTTTAAGGAGGGACTGAAGGAAGATGTCCATTTACATTGACTCATTTCCCTATTTCAGACATTTCTCATCTAGTTGTTCTTTCTGAGGCCATTTTTTCACATACAGTAGAACCAGAGTTATGAACTGACCGATCAACCACACCCCTCATTTGGAACCAGAAGTACGCAATCAGGCAGCAGTAGAGACAAAAAAAAAAAAAAAAGAAGCGAATAAAGTACAGTACTGTGATAAACATAAACTACTAAAAAAATAAAGGGAAAGCAGCATTTTTCTTCTGCATAGTAAAATTTCAAAGCTGTATTGAGTCACTGTTCAGTTATAAACTTTTGAAAGAGCAACCATAATGTTTTGTTCAGAGTTAAGAAAATGTCAGAGCTATGAACAACCTCCATTCCCGAGGGGTTAGTAACTCTCAGGTTCTACTGTATTTCCCCAAAACATAATGGCAATTTTTATATATTTAACTCACAATAATAATAATTAATCAATAATTAATACAGTACCTAGCTCTGATATAGTGCTTTCCATCAGTAGATCTCCAAGTGCTTTCTTTACAAACGAGATAGATTTAATTATCCCCATTTTCCAGATGGAGGAACTGCGATAGAGAGATTAAATGATTTGCCCAAGGGTACATGTCGAGCCAGTGGCAGAGCCCAGCTCCCCTGAGTCTCAGTCTAGTGTGCAATCCACTAGGTCACACTGCTCCCAGTAATGGAATAATGGGAGTCAGTCACCTCGGCACTTTTGAAAATGCCACTAGGTGCCCATCTGCACATTTCGGTGCCTAAATAATTTTTAAAAATCTGGCCCTTATCACGTGCTTAACATGGAGCATGCACATGGTCCCCTTTGACTCCATTGGGATTATTTGTATGCTTAAAGTTACATATGAGTTTACCTGCTTTGCTTTAAGCAAAGGGATTCCAGTTGGTATTAAAAAATAACAAAGCAATACAGTGGTTGCTGCTTATCTCTTTACACTTTTGCCTTTGCATGTACTATGCTAGTCCCTAAATTTAGAACAGGGAATACCACAAGTATTGCAGTAATGTCAATTATTTGTGAAGCTTTTAAATGGTGATCACTGTAAGTAGCTGAATTTCTTCAGGCCTTAACAATAGTGAAAATGCCCAATGATCTCATTGCTTTGGGAACAAACGGCGTCTCTCTCTGTTATTTTCAGGTGGTTTCTATATATAGTCTTTGTTTTCTTGCTGGGAGCCATTTGTACCCGGGAATCGCTCCGCTATGACTTTATGATAGCAGAAAAGGTAATTTGTTAAATTTAAAATAACTCAATCCATTGTAGAAAACGGTGCTTTCCAGTCTACAGGGGCATTATTTAAAGTTGGGGTTTTCCAGAGCCTAAGGGAAAAGCAGTGGGATTTGGGTGCCATTGGACTCCTTTGAAAATCCCATCCCAAAATCGATTTGAATAGTTTGCATTCTCCAACATGCCCCATAATGCTGAATCTTGTAATTCCACAGCAATAACTTTAATAGCTAAACTATGCTATTGTTGCCTAATGATAAACGCTGTACATTATTCAGTATAGCCCATTTCATCAGTGGAAGCTTAGGTCTAATTGAAATCTCCAAAGAATCACACTGCTTATCTTTACTAAGTCAAGCAAGGCTTACATTTTCATATCCACTCTAGTGTAATTGCAGTGTAAGTAATGGGATTATTAAATCCTAGACATTCCACATTGGCATATACCTACGAAGCCGGTTTGTAGTGTCATAGTCAATGAACCTTATCACTGAGGCCCTCTGAAAAGAGAGGAAAAGATTTCAGTGTATTTCATTGCTCGCTTACATTAAGTGGAAGTAAAATGTTTTTGGCTAATTTTCAATTATCCCCCATTATCCAAAATTATATGCTCGCTGCAATTTGACAGAATTTCTTTGATTAAATTAGTTTGGCATGCTTTACTTTTATTTAATTCTTAATTCTTCTAACAGAGTTTAAGCTATAATTTCTATTTGAAATGCATGCTTTCATTTTCCCTCTGAATGCAGCCCTAGATTTTGTCCTGTTCCCAAGATAAGAAAAAATAGTTTAGATTTACACTGAAATATGATCGTATGTGGGGTGTCACGGACTCCCAGGTTGTGCCCACTCTTGGCCCCGTATGGTCCCTGGGGGGAACCCTCTTTAGTGTGACAGCCCTTCTTGGGGGTCCACTCTCTCTCTGGGGTTAAGCCCCTCGGCCTCCTGGAACCGCACCTCCCTGAGCCTCAGCACGCCTTTCTCTCGCCATGGGCTCCCTCACGGAGTCCACTCACTCTGGACCCCCGGGGCCTTCACTCCCAGAGGGAACAATGCAACCCTGTTCTCCAGACCACAGCGACTCTCAGCCAGCGTAAAACAGGAGGGTTTACTGAGCGTCTGAACACAGCATAGGAAACTCGCAGGGCCCTCAGGCCTGGCCTCTCTCAGCACAGTACATCTAGGTCTCTCCTGCATCCAGGTGGGCTCTGCCTGCCCTCTCCCCCCAGTCCTGAGACCCCGTGCTTCCCAGCTGGGCATCCGATATCACCTGCCCCCAAGCCCCACCTCTGTCCATTGTCTTCTAGCCAAGTAACAGGGTCGCCTGGGTCTCCTCTCCTCTCAGCCGTTTGTTCCCTACTGGCTAGAACCGGCTGGTCAGGTCACTGGGGTCCTCTCTCCACGGCCCATTGTCCTCCCACTGGCCAGAACCGGCTGTGACTCCTGAGCTGGGCCTCCCGGTCCCCAGGTCACCAGTCATTGGGGTATCCATTCTCCAGGCCATTGGCTGGGGTTCCAAGTTCCGTCGCTGGTCCTCTGTAACAACAAACTCCCTCTCCCATCACCTCGTTAAACCAGTAACATCCAGGGAAACTGAGGGCATGGCTACACTCGAAACTCCAAAGCGCTGCCGCGGGAGCGCTCCCGCAGCAGCGCTTTGAAGTGCGAGTGTGGTCGCGGCGCCAGCGCTGGGAGAGAGCTCTCCCAGCGCTGCAGGTGCTCCACCTCCCCGAGGGGATTAGTTTACAGCACTGGGAGCATGGCTCCCCGGAGCATGGCTCCCAGTGCTGGGACACTGTTTACACTGGCGCTTTACAGCGCTGTAACTTGCTGCGCTCAGGGGGGTGTTTTTTCACACCCCTGAGCGAGAAAGTTGCAGCGCTGTAAAGCGCCAGTGTAGCCATAGCCTGAGTCCACCCGCTCTGCATGCAAACCATTGAAAAAACCAACAAAATCACCCACTTCGTCACATGGGGCTTATATCACTTATAGGTAAGACAGAAATCATCACTGTTTCTGGGAGAAAAGTGGAACGATTCTACGCTAGTCATTTTAATTCAGTCTTTGTTATATAAATATTGATAGTCCTTTATTAGGTTAGCTTCAGTACCCCATAAGAAACAAGCAGAACAGCTTGATTTCCTTCTTTGACAGGGTAACTCGTTTGGTGGATAGAGGGAATGTAATATACCTGGACTTTAGTAAGGCTTCTGACACAGTCCCACATGACATTCTGATAAGTAAGCTGGACAAATGCAGGCTCGGTGGAACCATAGATGCCAACTCCGTGGGTGCTCCAGGGCTGAAGCACCCACAGGGAAAAATTGGTGGGTGAGGAGCACCCACTGGCAGCTCCCTGACCCGCCCCAGCTCACCTCTGCCTCTGCCCCGCCTCTGCCTCCTCCCCGGAGCGGCCACCGCGTCCTGCTTCTCCCCCCTCCCTCCCAGCACTTGTGCCACGAAACAGCTGTTTCGCACAGCAAGGCAGGGAGGGAGGGGGGAGGAGAAGGAACGCAGCGCGCTTGGGGAAGAGGCGGGGCCAGGATGGGGATTTGGGGAGGGGTCCAATAGGGGCAGGGAGGGGGCGGAGTTGGGGTGGGGCCAGGGGCGGGGGGGGACGCAAGCTCCCACTGGCGCCAACAAAAGTTGGCGCCTGTGGGTGGAACTATCATTAAGTGGATACATAATTGGTTAAACCACCACAAACAAAGAGTAACTATTAATGGAATGATATTGGATTGGAAGGAGGTCTCAAGTGGGGTTCCACAGGGATTTTTTCTGGGTCCGGTGTTATTTAACATTTTTATTAACGACCTGGATGTAGTAATAGAGAGCATACTGATCAAATTTGCAGATAACACAAAGCTGGGAGGGGTGTTGCAAACACTTGGGAGGGCGGAGGTAAAATTCAAAGGGATTTTGATGAATAGGAGAACTGGGCTATAGATGACAAAATGAAATTCAGCAAAGACAAATGTCAGGTGCTACACTTGGAGAAGTAAAACCAAATGTACAAACACAGAATGGGGGAAAACTGGCATGGCAGCAGCACAGCTGAGAAGGATCTGGGAGTTGTGGTGGATCACAACCTCAACATGAGTCAGCAATGTGATGCTGTTGCAAACAAAACAAATGCAATTTCAGGTTGCATTAACAGAGGCATAGCATGCAAGTCACTGGAGGTGATAGTACTGCTGTACTCGGGGCTGGTTAGGCCTCAGCTGGCGTACTGTGTCTAGTTTTATTCACCAATGTACAAAAAGGATGTAGAGAAACTGGAAAGAATCCAGAGGCGAACAACAAAGATGATCAAAGGGCTGGAATGCAAGCCATATGAGCAAAGGCTAAAGGAACTGGGTATGTTTAGTTTGGAAAAGAGGAGATTAAGGGGGGGGATAGGATAATGGTCTTCAGATACTTGAAAGTCTGCCATAAAAAAGATGGAGAAAAGTTGTTCTTTTTTGCCACAAAGGGCAGGACAAGAGGCAGTGGGTTCAAACTACAGCACAGCAGATCTAGATTAAATCTCAAGAAAAACTTCCTAACTGTAAGAACAGTAGGACAATGGAACAGATGCCTAGGGAGGTCATGGAAGCTCCTTCACTGGAGGACTGGAGGTTTTCCAAAGGAGGTTGGATAGCCATCTGTCTTGGATGGTTTAGACACAACAAATCCTGCATCCTGGCAGGAAGTTAGACTAGATCAGCAGTTCTCAACGTTTTTCTTTCTGAGTCCCCCCCCCCCCAACATGCTATACAAATTCCACGTCCCACCTGTGCCACAACACCTGTTTTTCTGCATATCCAGTTGATTAAAAGCTAATATCGGCATTAGGGGGTGGCAGGCAGGCAGGGCAACTGCTCGGGGCCCCAGGCCATAGGGAGTCGGGGCTCGGGCTTTGGCTTTCTGCCGTGGGCCCCAGTGAGGCTAACACTGGCTGTGCTCTCTGGATTATAGTGGCAGACCCCCTGAAATCTGCTCCCGGCTCTGTAGGGTGCCCCAGATCACCGGTTGAGAACCACAGGACTAGATGACCCTTGTGGTCCCTTCTAACCCTATGGGTCTATGATTCAATGAAATCTTCTGGAAAGAGAGTCTTATGCCATTGTTGCATATCATAAAGACACAAGAAAAAACAAATACAGTTTTCTTTTCCCCTTGTACAATATGAAGTGGTGATGCAATACATGTAGAAAATATGGCTTATTATTAGAATTATTATAAGCACATTTATATTTTATTGGCCTTGTTTGAGAGAAGAAATTACAAATCAAAAACTGTGCAAACTTTCCATTTCTGTCAGTCGTGGTTAAAGAAGCATTTGGCTGTTTGTCTTCCTTAGAATGTATTTTTCTGAACATACAAAATAGGGGCACGAAGTAATTTCACTTCAAAGGAGATCTAATAGGCTAGGACTGCCAATTTCTTGTGAAGTATTTGTACTCTCTAAACTTTTTAAAAGTTAATTAATTTATTTATTTTACTTTTGACAATCTCAATGAAAAGACATTTTCCCCCTAAGCCCTGAGTGGAATGTCAAGTAGCACATTTAAATGCAAGCATTTTTTGGTGACTAAAATGATAGGCAAAGCCTGAAACTATAAAGTGTTTCTTTCAAGTATTTTTTTTTAAATAGGACCAATAGTATTGTGGTTTTGTATTGATAGCATTCTGAAATCAAAAGTGGCTGTTCTGTTCTCTAATGTAAATGTCTGTTCATTGATTTGTTTCTCATATTTTTCATCCATCCATTCATAACACACTTTGTTTTCCTGGAGCCAAATTAGTTCGTTGGGGGGGGGGTTGGGGGGGGGGGGGGGGGTAGCCTGGGGGGGGAAGATGGGTTGGTTTGAGGGTTTTCAAAACACAGCATGAATTTTAGATGCTGTCTCCAAGCAGAATGAATTTTATATCTTTTCATCCAACCTCCTTTACAATGCAGGCTGCTTTCATAAATAAGAAAAAAGGTCAATGTATCTTGAGCTTTCTTAGAAAATG